ATGACCCCATTCAGGACTGGATGACAAATCTCGCCACCCGGAACCGAGACTATTTGCAGCAAATTCATATTAAGTGGCCACACATTCTCCTATTTAGAGGTCACGTTAGTGTAAAATGGTGAGCTTTCCTGAATCATTTCAGGCCACATAGTAATGGCCACTCCACATTATTATTATTTTTACCTGTTTGTCAAGGATACACACATAAGTATTCCCACTTTTGTTATCATACTCCCATGCGGAAGAACATATCAGACAACATATCAGACAACATATGCAAAGGAACATATTTTTTTTTTAATTATTGAGCAGCTCGAACCTTCTGGATGTCTCTTGGGAACTCATCACTTCCTGGCAGGAACAGCCTTGGCGTCTCGCACACACAGCCCGGGTTCTACTGCCAATGTGAATCTGCCACACTTATTGAACATCTAGATTTTCTAGGAAAATCCAGATTAACACCACAATTCTTTTTCCCCAAACTACCCACGAAATAAATCCTCAAGCACCTAAAAACTCTGCACATGCCACAAGTTGCTTAGAATATCATGTGTCTGGATAGTTGCCAATTTGGGATGAGAGAAGCCCAAAGAAAGCTTAAAGCAACAGTGGCTAATGGCTAAAATTCTTCCCATAGGCTGCACTTTCCTTTTTTGTTGTTTTTGTCCCTAAGCACCCAGAAAAAATAGCTATCACTCCATCAGCAACACCATTTGCTCACAAACTTTGGTAGATAAGTGTTGTAATATAATAACAATGCAGTTGATGAACAGAGTCAATTATCTTAATTGAAATAGGAAGCATTTTATTTGTAGTAAAAACCTTAGTTTTGTAGGCATTTCAAAGTCTAGAAGCCAGTTGCTGCTACTGTTGTTGATCCTGCTTCCACTTCTATTATCTGTTTTACTCTCTTGTAAAGTTAATTGCAAAGTCTTGCTCTCCCAGATTGATTTAAAATAATAAAAAATCTATAGTGAGTTAAAATTGTATAATAAATGTAGTTGGTTTATAATAATATAGAATTAAATTGCAACAAATACCTTTAAATAGTTTCAGATAACTAATTTTTATGCTATTTTTGGTTCAGAATAAAATATGTGTAGCCTTTTAAGATTTGGCAAACCTGAAAATTGGTCCTTGATTATGAAGAAGTTGGCCACCTCTTGCTTAGAAAAATCAGGAATGGATTTTAAGTGTGGAAGAACTTTTCATTTGTGCCACTGAAAACATATTTCTGGGATTTAAAAAAAATGCAGAAATCCACAACCTAGTAGATCAGAGTCAAGTGATGGTTATGGGATCATCAACAGGGCTTATGTGAAGAACCCAGTTTTAACTTAGCTCTGAAATGAGGCCCAGTTGAGCCTCCTCTTCAACTGGGGTGCCACAGTAGAGAAGGTCATCTCCCATCTGTGCTCATGGTAAATTGCTCCTAATGATGGGACAGAGAGGAGGACCTGTGCTATTAGTAATTATATCCATTCAATCATAGGTTTTATTTTTTATTTTTACAGGTTGATCTAAAAAAAAATTAAACTTCTCTTTTGCCTCATTTATAGGAATTTGGGGGAAAGGGAGGACTTTGAAAAGCTTATCACGTATCATGCAAATATAACAGGTAATGAATAGCAACTGCAGCTATTTTGTTGATGTTGTTGTGTACTTCCAAGTCATTTTTGTCTTATGGCAACCCTATCATAGGATTTTGTTGGCAAGATTTTCTTGGTAGATGAGTTTTGCCATTGCCATCCTCCAAGGCTGAGAGAGTGTGACTTGCCCAAGGTCACTCAGTGGATTTTTATGCCTGAGCAGGGATTTGAACCCTGTTCTCCGGAGTCATAGTCCAACACATAGTCCAAACCACTATACCACACTGGTTCCTGTATCTGCTAAATGGTTTGTTAAACATCTCAGGTGCTTTCTTTATGTGGTGAACTGAGATAACCTCCTCTGAGGGCTTGTAATACAAAGGAAGGGGTACAGTTGAAGAGGCAAATGGTCAACAATTGGCTATGTTTATGTAGTTTATATTTTTAGAGCACAGTGAGACGTTGTCTTCAACATCAACAGTATAGTCTCACATAAAGGATGTGCTAATTCAAACTTGTTTTTGTCTACTATATCAACAGATATTTTCTTGCACAATTGTTGCCTGATACATGAGAATACTTGTGTTGTAGAGAAATCACATTGTTCTAGCATTAGATACACAGTATTTGCTCACTGAGAAAATGTGATCTTTTTTCTTTTCTTGTGACAGCTATTGCTTTGTCTTTATTATGAACAAGCACATTTGTCACAATAAGAATTATGAGGATGTTCCTGGCATCTAGTGGCTGCCAATTTATTTCTTTAACGAAAACATTTCTATAATACCCTCCATCAGATTACATTCAAGAATAGTATATAATGCAGATATTGTTTAGAATCTTTAAAAATATAACTTAAGGGAACAGTTCTTTGTTTCAGTTCTTTTTAAAAACATTCTGTAGCGGTTGTGCATTCACGGTTGTACAACTCACATGGGCACAATTCAAAGAAGCCCCTAATATGTAAAATGAAAAATATTAGTTTTTTGTATTTCATTTTCTTACAGCAGGAGTGGGGATTCTTTAGTCCTCCATATGTGTTGGACTGAAATTCCCATGTGTTTGTTGTGTGCCGTCAAGTCATTTCCAACTTATGACAACCCTAGGCAAACCTGTCATAGGGTTTTCTTGGGAAGATTGGTTCATTGGGCATTTGCCTTTGCCTTTCTCAGAGGCTGACAGGATGTGACTTGTGCAAGATCATCCCAGTAGGTTTCCACAGCCAAGCAGGGATTTGAACCCTGGTCTCCATGGTCATAGTCCATTGCTCAAACCACTGTACCAATTCTCATGGTCCCTTACAACTGGGGAAGAGAGTTGAAGCAGAAGACATCTGCAGGGCCAATGGGTGTGTAATTTGGTGGGCTTGATTGCTTTTCTTTTCTGCTCACTCTCCTTCACCTTTTTTTTTAACCACAAAAATGTTGATGAGTTTATTAATTTCCCTGTATAGCATAGGAATAGACATCTTTCCAGTGTCATCTCACTGTAGCTAGCAGATCCCTTCAAAAGGGAGGCTAACAGAATCTGAGGGTCACATGTGAAGTTGTGAACATGGATCTGGGATCCATGGAGCTGTTACTTTACTGAGAATACCAGGAATATTTTGCAGGGGAGATGCAGCAGATGGAGGAATGCATAATGTTTCTTTCATGCACAGATTTCCTCTGCAATCCACCTTGCCCCTTTTGCTCTTCCTTTCTTTCCATGTCAAGTGAGGAAAAGTGATGGTAGCAGAAAGGATCTGCAAGGTCAAGCAGCTCCTTGCTTACTCTTTCTCGTCTGCAATTTATGCAGATACCTAAAGCTCTGCTGGCATGGGAATTCTAAGAATTGTAGTTACTGATAAAAGTAACTTTTCAAAAACTGCATATACTACATCTCTTGCTTTCAACTGAAAAAGTGACAACTCTGGTTCACAGATTTCTGTTGGCTACCAATTACTTAGTAGGTTTTACAGTTCCTTACTTTGACTATTTGGAAGGGCTCTTGTTCACAGTCATCTGTAGGAAATGTTCACCAGATTTTTGTCCAGTATAAATAGCTGTGCAAAATAACCTCAGATGCGTCTACACTGTAGAAATAATGCAGTTTGACATCACCTTAAGTATTGTAGCTCCATCCTATATATCCTGGGATCTGTAGTTTTACAAGATCTTTAACCTTCACTGCCAAAGAATGCCGGTGCCTTGCTAAACTACTAAACTATTCTGTAGGATGGAGCCATAGCAATTAAAGTTGTGTGAAACTGCATTATTTCTACAGTGCAGATGCTCCCAAATAGTTTGTTCCTACCATCCAAGGTCTCAGGATACTGACAGCTGAAGCATTCAGATGCTGACCTGAAATGGCTGCGTTAGTCTGAAGATTTGTAGTAATGGAAAACAGGATTGGGTGAAAGGAAATGGTGAAGAGAAATAAAACATTGAAAATCAGAGGCATGTGGGGTTGTGGATGAAGTAGAGGAATACTTGTGATGGTAATGTTTTATATTTGCAGGCGTCTCGGTGAACATTATTAAGGAATCCCTTGGCGAAGAGCTTTTCAAAATATGTTACGAAGAAGACGAACACATTCTAGGTGTTGTTGGAGGGACTCTGAAAGACTTTTTGAATAGTTTTAGTACTCTGCTGAAGCAGAGCACCCATTGTCATGAAGCAGAAAAGAGGGGTAGACTCGAAGAAGTTTCCATACTATGCCTGGAAAAGGACCCAGATTTCTTAAATGTGTACTATTTCTTTCCCAAGAAAACAACAAGTATCATCCTGTCTGGCATCATTAAAGCAGCTGCTCACATTCTGTATGAGACAGAGGTGGAAGTGACAGTCATGCCACCCTGCTTCTGCAAGGACAGCACTGAGTTTATTAACCAGCCATATTTGTTATACTCTGTACAAGTCAAAAGTGCAAAGCCATCCTTATCACCGTGTAAACCTCAGTCTTCCCTCGTGATCCCTGCTTCTATGTTCTGCAAGACTTTTCCATTTCATTGCATGTTTGACAAGGATATGACTATTTTGCAAGTTGGCAATGGTATCAGGAGACTGCTTAACAGGAGAGAATTTCAAGCAAAGCCAAACTTTGATGAGTGGTTTGAAATCCTGACCCCTAAAATTAATTGTACCTTTAGTGGGATCATGACGATGCTGAACATGCAGTTTACCATAAGGGTGAGACGAGGGGACAGTGCTCTTAAAAAATCAACAGGGGTAAGAACTACATTATTACATTATCTCTGTCTGTCTGTCTGTCTGATTTAGTTCATTCATCTGTCTCTAATTTAGGTACAAGGTTATAGTAATAACATTTGTATGTTATTAGAACAGCCAGTGTGGATACTTATGATATATTAATCCTTTTTTTTACTATGACTATCCATTTAGGAGCTTGTGGTGGGGTTTGGTGAAAAGGCAGTAGCAAGCTTATGGGCATTTAAAGCAGTGATTCCCAAATGTTGGTCCTCCAGATATTTTGAACTTCAGCTCCCAGAATTCCTGTTGGTTGGTATAAATGGCTAGAGCTTCTGGAGCTGAAGTCCAAAACACATGGAGGACCAAAGGCTGGGAAACACTGACAAAGGGCCTTTACAGATTGCCAGAAATAATGCAGCTTGAGACTACTTTAACTGTTCTGGCTCAGTGCTAGGGAATCATGGGAACTGTAGCTTATTGTGGCCTCAGAGCGCTCTGACACAGAAGGCTCAATGTCTCAGAAAAACTACGGTTCCCATGATCCCCTAAGCACTGAGCCAGGGCAGTTAAAGTGGTCTCAAGCTGCATTATTTCTGGCAGTCTGTAAAGGCCCAAAGTTTCACAATTCTTTCATACCATTTCTTTTACAATTAAAGCTCCAAATTAGAACTGTGAGCTGTTTTTGCATATCTTTGTTAATGGAAGGAAGATCTCTTTGAGCCAAACTGCTCACCACTTGTTAAAACTGTTTTGAGCTGGGTTGCTTAGGACTGCAGTTGAGTATGTGTGTGAGTGCTTGAACCCCACCAATGGAAGGAAAAATCCCTGTTCATAGATAATTAGCACAGCAAGAATAAGATATTGGAACTCTTTCCCAGCATCTAGATTTCAGTTTGTGAACCTGAAAAAGATGTCAGTTCACTAAAGCCATCCAGCGCTTGTATTATTTCTAGTCCTACTCTCAGTGCTGGAGAGATCTAGTGAATCTTTTGTTCTAAAGGTATTTTTCCCCTTTTGAAGTTCCATGTGTATTAGATTACCACAAAACTGCTTACTGCTAAATGATGAATATAAATAAAAGGATTTAGCTGTAATCTTGCCTCTACATTTGGTCTTGCTAATCTGAGGCTCAGATCTATATTGGGTATTCTGAATTCACTGTGCTCTGAGCCCATGCTGATATCACATTAGAGTAGGATTTTCAATCCAAGCTACAGATGTGTATCAGAGAGTAGAATTGTACCTTTTATGTTTCCATTTTAAATATTGGTCTGTCAAACAAATTTCTCCCTCAGAAGCTGTCATTCCTTTCCTTTATAATGCTAATACAAGGGCAGAAGAGGGGTGTGTTTGTACAAACTGGTGGGGGTGCTTATACTTTCCAAGATCTTATTCTTCCTGTCAAATACTACACAAGCCATTTTAACTGGACTAGCAGCGGAAATCTTAGCACATTTCATTCTTATTAGCAAGAATGAACAATAATTTTAACCATTTTTATCTTTGCTGTGAGAAAGTCTTCAAAAAACCTGACAGTTTGCAAAGACTATTGGCTGCTTGGGGCTTATTCTACTAAAACCAACACCCAAAACAAAAGATCACATGGAATTTTGGGGAGCAAAAAGCAACATTTTCTGTTCAAAAACACCATGTACATTTTGCACGATACATAGGTCCAAACTGCAAAGATTTTCATCTGTTCAGAATCCTGCTTGTCAAGGTTTTCAGTGATCAGGAACCTTTTTTAAAAAAAAAAA